GTGAGGCCCCCGCCCCAGCTCGCAAGAACCGCCTGCTGCTGCTGCTGCTGCTGCTGCTGGTGCGGCTCGAGAAAGGCTTCTGGGGGCCCCCCGTCTGCTGCAGCGGAGTGGAAGAGGGCCCCCCGCAGCAAGTTGAGGCCCCTGAGGCCAATGCGTTTGTGAAGAGACACAAGAACAGCATATTGCCTCCTTTCTGAAAGGTCTAGTTCGAGGGCTCTGCAGCTCGCGAGGGCCTTGAGGTGTTCCGCAGTCCTGCTGCTGCTGCTGCTGCTGCTGCTGGCGTGCATGCAGGGGGTGCCCCGCGCTGCATGCGCTGCGCTGCTGTGGGGCTTGTCAGCCCCCCGCTGCAGCAGTGCTGCATGCGCAGCAACAGCAGCAGCTTCGTCTAGGCCTCGGGCGAGGCCAAAAGAGCTCCCGAAGCCCCTGTGGGCAAAAGCCCCCCCGGGGCGGGGACGCGGCGCTGCTGCTGCTCGAGCTGCTGCTGCTGCTGCTGCTGCAGCACCGTCTCCCGCCTCGCTTTCTCGCCCGTAGCTGCTGCTGCTGCTGCTGCTGAGGGTGCCGTGCGGGCTCCTGGAATGCCCTGGCGGAGAGGGGCTGTCTGCGTGGGGGGTGTTTGGGCGCGTGCTGCTGCTGCTGCTGCTGCTGCTGCTGCGCTGCTGCTGCGCAGCAGCAGCGGGGTCGTCTTGAGGCGCCAGAGGCAGCAAATAAGGGCGGACTGGAGGCAGCCAGAGCTCGGAGTAGTAGCCCTGGCCCCTGAGGCGAGGCTCGGAGACGGGCAAAGCTGCGAGAGCAGCAGCAGCAGGGAGGCCCTGAGGGTACCAAGGAAAGGGTACTGAGACCCGGGGGGCCCCATTGAGGGCCAGGAGGGCGGGGCCCCAGCAGCAGCAAGCCGTGTGGGCCCTGGCGAGGGTGAGCCAGTAGCGGGGCACTGTGGGGCAAAGGTCCACAGCAAAGGCAGCAGCTTTTGCTGCCAGCAGCGGGAGGCCCCCCCGCAGCAGCAGCTCAGCCAGCTGCCGCAGCAAACAAGCCTCTTCGGGGAAAGTGCTGAGGCAGCGCAGCAAAGCTGAGACTGAGGGGCCCCAGAGGCCCCTGCGGGCGAAGGCCCTGGAGATGTGGAGGCCCATGAGGGGCCAAATGGCCTGCAGCGAAGCCAAAGTTTCCACGCACTGCAGCAGCTGCTGCTGCTGCAGCAGCAGCTCCGCCACCGCCTCGCACAGCGCGTTCGTGCCCCTTCCCGTCGCCGGCAGCAGCCCCAGCAGGTCCCCCTCAGCAGCATGTTTTTCGCAGAGTTCCAGAAAGGTTTTTGCGGCTTCGCAGCCCCCGGGGGCCCCCAGGGGGGCCCCCAGGGGGCCCCCCAGCGGCGCCCCCAGCGGGGCCCCCAGCGGCGCCTCCAGGG